CTCTCGAGGACACCCAAACCCTAGAGAGAAAATGATGTTGGTCTCCTACCGCCTCCCGCCATGCCCCTACCCGACAAATTAACTCTCTCGAGGCCACCCAAATTTATCAAGTTAAAAGAGCGTTATCGTCGAGGCCACCCCAAACCCTTGAAGCCTTGTGTCGAGGCCACTAACATGATTCCTTATTGTGATTAGCTAGCTAGTTCTACGTTTGCCACTAATATATATATATATATATATATATATATATATATATATATATATCCATCTGTACCATGTTTGAATAATAATTGACATGTTGTAAATATTTGCAGAAACTATGGAGAACTCCCGAGACGAAGAAACAATAGCGATGTTGCGGGACATAATCGCAAATGGATCAACTGATGATGTTGCTCATTTCTCCTCGACACCGTTGATCAGCTAGATGAAGAAGAGGGCTATGTTTATGATGGTGGCTTCGACCCATTAATGCCGGTACAAGAGGAGGACTATGTTCATGATGGCTCCGGTGACACCATGGAGGTACAAGACGAAGGAGACCATGCTGACTGCTCCGGTCACCGAACCGAGTCCGGCCAGGTATATATATATTAGTTAAGCCCGTGCTGACTAGTTAATTGATGCATCCATTGTTTTGGTATATGTACACATATTAATTACTGTCGTCTTTCTTCCTTATAATTTCTAGCCCTCCGGATCGAGCACAACTTCGGTAAGGAGACGAGGCCCGAAGAAAAAGTTGAGCTCGGATGAAAAGTTTGAGATCATAGAAATCGCGCCCGACGGCGAACCGATTGAACCCATCCGGACAAGGAAGGCATTTTCTGCTCAGTGCGGGGTTCTTGTTAGGGACAGGATCCCGATCAGCATCCAGCAATGGTATAAGCCTGCTAAGGATGAAGACGCTGAGGTGTCTTATGTCAATGATATGCAGAAAGAAGATCTTTGGACTGAGCTGAAGGCAAATTTCACCCTACCACCAGAGGAGGATCCGGAGAAACCAGTTAAAGAGCAATTAATCAAGTCTTGTGCTCTTAAGAAGATGGCAGGCATAATGAGGAGGTGGAGGAAAGAGCTGAACCAGTTTGTCAAGGAAAAAAAGACACCAGAATTCATCGGCAAATATGAGAAGATCAAAGATCACTGGCCCGCATTTGTGGCCCACAAGACATCGGAAAAGAGTAAGAAGATGTCGGAGACAAACAAGAAAAATGCTGCGAAGAAGAAGCTTCACCATCGCACGGGGTCAGGTGGCTACCTCAAAGCCCGGCCTAAGTGGTCCAAGGCTGAGCATGATCTGCTTGAAAAAGGGATCGAACCAGAGACAATGCGCAGGCCAGACCGTTGCCAGACTTGGTTCTTCGGGGATGGCGGAACCTTGGACCCTGTAACAGGGAAGTGTCAGTGGACGGATGAGCAACTGCAAACACCAGTCAAGAACCTTCGACACTATATCGATGCAGCGCAGCGAGGGACGTTCCTTCCAAACAGGGAGAAGGACGAGCTCACAATGGCCCTTGGGTATCCCGAGCACCCTGGACGGACACGAGGCACGCCAGGCTCCATTCCGTGGAAGGTTGGTTTTCCGGACGCAGGGGGTTACAAAACCCACGAGAGGAGGAAGAAACTGGAGCAGGACCAAATGCAGGCGCTGCTTGGAAGGGTAATGGGGCTAGAGGATCGAGAAGAGGAACGAGAAGCAGCAGATCGCAACAAACGACATGCCGAAGCTTCCCCCGAAGCTACCCCACCATCTCAGTGGAGAAGCAGCGTGGCTTCCACCGAGCTGCTTCAGCCAGAGCATGTCTTGACGGATCCTGCCAGCTATCCCGTGGATGGTATCACGGAGTCTCAAAATTGCCACATGATGGCGCGATGGATGAATTTGAAGGTCAAGGCGGCTGTTGGCCAAGTTTATCCTAGTGGACCCGACACAACTTATCACTGCCAGCCGATTCCAAAAGGATATGCTAAGGTGATGGTGGATGAAATAACGGAGGGATTTGAGGACCTCGTGCTTGAGCACCCTACCGGTGAAGGGGAGACTAGGCTGGGTTCTGCTCTGAAGACTCCATGCCTATGGAAGAAGGAGCTCATCAACCTTCTGTACTGGACGCCTCCGCCTCCTCCTCCTGCTCCGGCGAGTCAGGGCACTCCGCCTCCTCCACCGCCTCCTCCTCCGGCGAGTGACGATCAGGGCACGCGTGGCGGCACTCCGCCTCCTTCTCCGGCGCATGGCGGCACTCCGCCTCCTTCTCCGCCTGCACCGGCGCTCCCGAACAGCCAGTAGCATCCTCCTTCTCCGCCTCGCCAGCAAGGGCGGAAGAGACCCGCCGCCGCCCCGGCTGCTCCGGCGCGTCGTACTCCTGCTCCTCCGCCTCGTAAGCAAGCACGAAAGAAGACAGACGCCGCAGCCGCTCCGTCTGTTCCGGCGTCTAGCAGCACAACCAGAGGTTGGAGCCAATACAAATACGGTCCATCATCTCTCAAGCCTCTAGAGAAGTTACCGTATGAGAGGTCCGAGGAGGAAAACGATACGATTGTGCAGGCCCACGTGAAGGAGTTCTTTGAAGGGGTGAAAGCAAAGAGACATCCACCTCCGGAGGAGAAGGTAGATCCGGTGAAAGCAAAGCGCACTATCGATGCCATGAGGAAACCACCAAAGTCTCCGCCGAGAACCAACTATGAGCGCATTACTGAACAGACATATCTCCAAGCCCAGCGGTCGGGAACTACTGTCAGTGCTAAAAGGTCAAAACAACGAGCACAGGGGAAAAAATTGCCCAGCTCGGCGAACAAGCACAGCAATCGTGCCCCCCGCTCAATGTGTCTAATGCTCCGGGGACGGTGGCCGGTTATGGCAATCTTGACGATTACCTACCTGACGATGCACTTCCTGATTTCTTGAAGGTGGACGGACACAGATACGAGTACGGGAAGCCTCTCATCAAAGATGAAAAATCTCTGACAACAATGATGCGAAGATTCCATAATTGGTACATGGAAACCTGCAGAGAGTCTGATGGTAAGAATGCTTTGTATCTGCATATTAAAGAGGAGCACGATCTCGTTGCAAATGATCTGTTGACTGTTCCATTTGAGGAGTTCTTCGAGTTCTTCAATCAAAAGGCCCTCGATAAATTAATGGTCTTTTGCTACTGCCTGTAAGTACTATTTCTGTCGTTAAGTCTCTATATATAGCTCGGCTCTTTCATTGCATGCATGTATTTATAATTAATTATCCTCAATATATTATGCAGATTGAAGATCGTCGAGTGCAAAAAACAAGAAATTTATGATATTGGGTTCATTAACACAAATATCATAGATGTATTTCTGGTTGAAAAGAACGTCAAAGAGGCCGAGGACAACTTGCTACGATCGTTGATAAAAAATCAAAACAAAGATACCACACTCTTTCCTTACAACGGCCCGTGAGTGTTACTGTCGTGTGCATATTCGGTTTCCCTTATTACTCAAGCGAGGTTATAGTAATGTAATTGATGAGTTATGCATGCGTGCGCAGGTACCACTATATTCTTCTGGAGATTAAGCTTGAGCGTGGACTAGTTACCGTCTTAGACTCGAGACGGAAAGATCCCAAAACCTATGCGGACATGACTGAAATGCTCAGCAAGTAAGTTCAATCGATCATAATTATCGCACCATATCGGTAACTTTTTGTTCATTTCCTGATATCTCAAGTAATAATAATTATTTTCTTTGTCTTGCAGGGTTTGGAAACAGTTCACCGCAGAAGCTCCGGGACTGCCGAAGGAGCTGCGATATACATACCCGAAAGTAAGTACTACTGGCTAGCTAGTTGCGCGCATCTCCGGCCCGTTGATTCTATATATAGCTATATATAGCCCGTTGACCTCTATTTCTCGTAAAGTGCTTGTGGCAGGAGGTAGGGAATGATTTCTGTGGATACTACGTGTGCGAGTTCATCCACACCGCGACTTTGAAAAACAAGCGGGGCTACTCTCAAAGACAATATGAAGTGCGTAAGGAATAATATTCACAATTTCATTTTATTACACCATCATTTCTGTTGAGTTTCATTCATATATATGTATTAATTAACCCCCTTCTTCAAATTAGACGTGGCAGATGCGGAATGAACTCCTAGAACCAGATCGGATGAAAGCAATTCAAGAGGAATTGACGGGATTCTTTCTTGATCACGTCATCAGTAAAACCGGAGAATACCATGTGGAAATTGATTTCAAATGCTAGCTAGGGGTTTGTAATTATAAGAGATCTTATACATATTGTACATGTATGTAGCCAGTAGCGTCGGATACATGATACGAAAACTTGTTGTTCGACCAACCTCTCGGAGAAGGAGAGGTCGATCGATCACTTCTCTTGGTATGCATGACGAACTTCTGTACTGAATGGTTCTCTCGATCACTTATGTATATATAGTACGTAGCGTCCAAGCACGGACATAAGAGAGGACACTTCTCTCTATTAATTAGCTAGCTAACAGAATATATGAAACACTTAATTAAATTAACCCCCCAAAACCCCCAACCTTCCCTCCTTTCAAGAAAAAAACACAAAAACCCCAGCAACTGGAATGCTGACGCGTGGATGCATTTTGGTCCCGGTAGGTGCCACCAACCGGGACCAAAGGCCCCCTCACTGGGGTGGGCGCACAGAGCCACGTGGAGGCACATTGGTCCCGGTTCTGGATTGAACCGGGACTAATGGGTGGAGGTATTAGTAACAACCCATTAGTCCAGGTTCATGAACCGGGACTAAAGGCCCTTACGAACAGGGACTAATGGGTGGTTTTCTACTAGTGTAGTGGCGCACCACTAGTGCGCCATTAGTAGGCAAAACTGATGCGCCACTTGTAGGCCTTTTCCTAGTAGTGTACGGGCTTCGTGTGGCTGCGCCAGAAGAAGGCGCTCACGCACACCTTCAAGCAGATCGGGAGGCTGGTCTCGTACGCCACCAAGGTGACGGCCTTCGTCCAGGACCGCAAGATGAAGGGCATCACAGGGGTCAAGAGCAAGGAGCTCCTCATCTGGGTCACTGTCTGTGACATGTACATCGATAGGAATGACCACTCAAAGATCACGTTCAAACGCCCACAGGACTGGGAAGGACCTTCCCCGTCTCCGCCTACGGAAAGGAGGATGACAACAAGCACGACGTGGCCAAATAAGAAACCACGGCCGGCATAAAGAGTCTTTTCTTTATGGGCAGTGATCCGCGCCGGTCAACCGGCGCAAGGCTTCCGTCGGTCGCAGGTACATCATTTGATTGGACAACGAACGGTCGTTAGATTAAAAAGCTCTTCTCCCCCGAGTCAACTCTCGTCTTCTTCCCTCCGCTATCGATACACACCCACAGCACCAGCCCTCACTGGCACCACCAGCCCCCGCAAACACCTCGAGCGCGCACGTCTCCAGCCGCGACCGCAAGCGCCGTGGGTCGTCCCACTCCCAGCCATGGCACCTCGTTGTGCGCTTGCAACCTCGTGGTTGCCTTGCCATGAGTCCATGACTGCCTCATCTTCCATCTCCAGGCTGTGGGATGCGTTGCTACTCCAGCAGTGCGTTCCTAGCAGCGGTCGGCAACGGTTGCAGGACGCAGCCCCATGGTTGCAGCCATTGGGTTGTGCTGCCCCATCACACGAGCGGTGCCGTCCGCTGCTCCTCGCCGTTGTTTCCTGGGATTTAGCTTCGCTCATCAAAATCATTGTAGCAAAATAAAAGGTTGGATGTAGCTTTTCTGGTGCCGATTGCAGCTCAGCACGGCGTAGCTCGTCGTCGTCTCAGCACTACTTCATTGGCTGAAGCAAAAAAGGACACCGGTTCCAGCTTTCGTCGGCAATTGTTCCAGCATCCGTGTTGCGTGGTTGTAGCTCCGTTAGTAACCAGTTTCGGTAAAAAAAAGGTCTGCCGGTCGAGCACCATGCAGCTCCCCTTGTGATAGATGTAGCAAATTTCGAACCTGTAGTAGCAAAAGCTGATGATGGTTCCAGCAAAAGGGGGCGCCACTGTGGTGTCATTGCTCGTGAGTGCAGCTCCGGTGGTTGGTGTGTCTCCGCATCCGTTGTAGCATATCAGGATGCTGGTTGTAGGTTTTCTTATCTCTGGTTCCAGCTTTCGCCGGTGCATTGTGGTCGGTTGTAGCTTTCTACTCTTCGGTTGCAGCTTTCGCCAAAGACGGTTGTAGCTTCCGCCGCCGCCGGTTGTAGCACTACCCCCATCTCGTTTCACAGTGCCGTTTTGGTTGAAGCGAAAAAAAGAGGTCGTCACTCGCAGCGCTGCCACTGGCTGCAGAAGCCCGGCGAGGAAGCATGGAGTAGCAGCGAGGCTGGCCGTTGTGGCAGCGGTGATGATGGGCGTACAAACGGCGGTCCTGGTGGGGGATAGAGATAGAGGAGGGGAAGAGATCAAGCTCAAATGTGTCGCGTCCATGGCAGTTCGAGAAGAGGGGCTCGCCGGCAACGACGAAGCGACAAAGTTGGGCGCCAAGCATGTCGTGGAGGTGCGTTCGTTAGCGATAGATGGTGGGAAAAGAAAAAGGAGATACGGAGAGGCAGCGAGCCAAGGAGGAAGACAAACACGAAGAAAGGATAAGGTGGGCATCGAGGCGAGCGAGCGGTTGCGACCGGCCGAACGCTTGGCCGGTCGACCATGCGTAATCGTTTACCTTTCTTTATTGCGGGCATACAGAGTTTGACACTATGATGAATACTACATGTACTTATTTTCTATATATATGAATTGTTTTAGTAAAGTGAGATTACACTACTTTGGTATTTTGCCGGATTTTATACCGCGGTCGATGAGAAATGTCCGCTCGCTTTGCATGGCTCATTAAATCATAGTAAATCTTGTCATTCATGCCAAAGGACAACTCTAATGCGCCGATCTAAACGGACATAGATTTGACCCGCTATTTATCCGTTTGGGATGGTTGGAGATGCGCCGTAAGGCCGCATCTAAGGACCAACGTCCTGGAGCCGCAATCGTCGCCATTACTAACCAAAGCCACGTCCAGCAGAAGCCCCTTTTGTGCCGCCACAAACGCCGTCACCCCATGTAGCCCGCCCGGGCACCGCCAGGGGACAACTAGACCAAATAGTAGGCTTTCTTTTCGTGGTTTCTTCCCGGGGCTCTTAAATCATTGAATTCATAGGCATAGGGGCGTCCTAGGTAGTGGTTCATTCAATAAGAAAGAAAGACAGGAGGGAAGGATTCCTCGTGTAGGGCTAATTCATTCTGGAAAAATAGGGAAAAGTGCCAAGAGCCGCCGTTGAGCCTGCTCTCAACCCCGCCACCAGTCACCACAAGGACCAGAGTTGCCGCCATAAAGCACACACTTGTTGCCGACGGGATCCTTTGGCGGGGGCCGAGGGGAAGGGTGTGGGGGGGGGGGGCAGGGTGTTGTAGACATAATCGGTGGCTGCCCTTCGTGTCGCTCATGGAGGCGACACGGTGGTCTTGTGCACAAGAATATGGAAATCACCAGTCGCCGATGCATGTTGGGCACCACACTTGTCCACCTCAGCAACACGAGGTTCTACGTGGTTCGGTGAAGATGCAAAAAGGAAAACAATGACTTTGGTCTTTGGGTGGAAGGGTAAGGAAACAAGGGAGTACGTCCCACCGGCACGGGTTCGTGCTCTTCATGACCATATTGCACATCAAGTATGACGAGGAGAGGCAGCTGCGGTTCCGTTTGCACCGGTTCAACAACTTCTTTTCTTCAAGTCTTTCCTTGTACAAAGTGAAAGTCTATGTCAATCTGTTTGGTTCTAACACGAAACAGGGTTAGCAGACGGATAGGTAGCACCCAGGTTATCACACCATAAACAGGAAGTGTGTTGTTGCTTTATTCCCAATTCTTCAAGGAAAGACTCCAAGCAAATGATCTTAACAGTACACTAACAGGGACACCCCTTATCAGATTTTATTACTACCAGCATTCACGCCAAAGTAAACTCGCAAATACTTACCCTAGATAGCTGCAGCATCCAGAGAAAATTTGAACAGTGCTACTCCCTCTCTTTCAGTTTACAAGGTGTGCGCGTACCCTACATCGTCAATTTGACCAACCTAATAGAAGTCATATATTACAAAAAACATACCATTGTAAACTTTAGATTTTATATTTTCAAACGGTACAATTTTTTTTGTTATATAGTTTATATTACGGTGATAAAATTGACAACCTAGGTATACGCGCAGGACATGTAAATTGAAACAGAGGGAGTAATAACCTTCAACTTGTGGGGTGCTGCAATATTGAATGCTACTCGTGTGCAGACATAGGCAGCCCACCGGCCTCGCCAAATTGCAGGTGTTAGGCCTCCTCTGATACATTGGTGCTAAGGTGGGGTGCTAAATGCATTAAAAAGCTTAGCAACTATTGATGCGGAGCATCTTACGGTCATCACCATGTCAAGAGTCCGTTTGGTAAGTGACACGTGCGACCTCTACTTCTCATACATAAAGGTGAATCTTCTCCTTTACACCTGTTCACTTGACCCCTTCGAGGATGGTATACTACTTGACACTTCTCCCGTGTGCATGCATAGGTATTGTTGGAGCTTCACGGATGTAGAGGAGGAGTGCAAGCGCCAAGGAACCACTACACCATCCGCAAGGGGAGCCTGGAGGCGAAGACAGAAGAAGAAGGACCTTCCAAGTCCAGAAAGGGCGGTACTACCGCCCAAAGAAAGCGGTACTACCGCTCAGACCCTCCAAGCGGTACTACCGCTCATGTGTCCGGTACTACCGCCCTGCATGTGCGCAGCCGCGGGCCTTTGGCCTTGTATCCCTCTCCCACTTACCCCTTGGTGGCTTAGACTATAAATAGACCACCTCCACCTCCTTTCTAGGGTTAGCAAAGTGATAGCTCATTTGTATGTGAGCTTTGCTCCTACCTATCTCTACTCTTGAGAGAGAGAGACCACTACTCCATTGGTGGTCAAGACCTCCATCTAGGAGAATCCTGCGGGATATCATCAAGACCCCTTCATGGGAAGATCCTTCTAGGATTCGAGCCCCCAACTCCTTTGGACTTGGGATGAACTCTACCTTGTATCTTTCTCTTTGTTGTTCATGTACCTTGGGATCTTGTGTGTTTGATTGTCTAGTGGATGTGTGATTTGGACTTGTTCTTGAGTGTTTCCCCTTGTGATTTCTCCCCATTCTTCCCCGCGTTCATCTTGTTCTTCGAGGGATCCCACTCCAAACGTGAAAGATCGTCCTACATCGGGTTAGCCCCGTATCATATGGTATCATGAGCCACGTTGATCACGTTTTTGGAGCCCCTACCCTTTGTTTTCTAGCTTGATTTTGTTGATTTCGTCCTAAATCCGAAAATCCCCACCAAAAATAGCCCCCAATTTTTTTTTGTGATTTGTTGGTTTGATGATGTTTTGTTGATTTTGATCCATGGATTTTCTTCGTTTCGAGTGGATCTAGCATCTCCCCAAGTTTCCCCACCTTCCATCCACGAAATTCGTCAAATTTTGCCACCGAAATCATCCATTTCCGCCCGAAAATCGCGCCTCGATTCGATCTGCGAAGAATCCCGACACGAGCGGTACTACTGCCCCTACGAGCGGTACTACCGCTGAGCACCACAAGCGGTACTACCCCCCCCCCCAAGCGGTACTACCGCCCCCAGCCCAATTTCAGCCTGAAACAGTCGAAAAATCCCGACGCGAGCGGTACTACCGCCCATCACAAGCGGTACTACCGCCCCTCCCAGTTTCAGCGTTCCGAGTTTCACTGTTTTGGCCATAACTAATTCATCCGAACTCCGATTTTGACGTTCTTTAGCTCATTTTGAAGCTATTGACATACTCCATCCCACAAAAATACCACCAACACCATTTGACTCCATCAAATTTTCCAAAATTTGGCAAGTTTGCCTAGGTCTTCCACCATATCATCCGCATAGCCACCACCGACTTTGTTCCATATAGCATTAGTGGTTGCTTGAGTAGCGATTCAAGTCTCCTAAGGTGTTTCGGCTACTTAGGGACAATTTCTTCTTCATCAACCACCACCACCACTTCTGCATTGCCTAGAGCAAAACCACCACCGCTTTCCGCTACCACCATTTGACATTTGTCATTTGAGATTTTGAGTTCGCGGGTTTTCCATTTCCTAAGGTGTTTCGGCTACTTAGGGACGAGTTCCATCATCTTGGTATCTAC